ACCTGGTGTGGGTGCAAAGACTGATGCGGGACGGGCTGGCAATCGCGGCCAAGGCACTAAGGCGACAAAAAAACAAAAACTCTATGAACCTACAACTCCTACTTTTCCTTATAGGGCTTTAAACGTACCGTTCTTGTCTGCTTTCGAACAGGAGAGGATCGTTGGTCGGGTCTTTTCCACCGACGTGGTGTGAAGCGTGGCTGTAGGCGTGGCAGCAGCGTGGCGGCCGCAAAGCCAAGGGAGTTTTCTCCGAACTCTCACACTTTTTTGCTTGGTTTTAAGCTTCACTCACAGCACAGCACAGCACAGGATTTAAACATGGAAAATTATTTTTCCGTTTACTCCGGACAGTTATGTAACTGTACTTTTTCGGACACGTGGTTAAAATTTTAAGGGTTCTACGGAACGTTTTGACTCTCGAACGGATCCACCGATTAGAATTTTCAAAAGAGCACGACCTGGCCTTTTGATCCGTTTAAATACGATCTAAAGATCTAAGCGGACTCCCGTGCTAAAGCTTCGCTTCGATGCGCTGCACTGCACTGGCTCAAGCTTAGCTCAGCTGTTCTAAGTCCAGAGCTTACACGCACCCACCCGAAACTATGCTACAAACATAATTGGCATAAATAGGGAAATCAAGGTTATTGCATGCGAGAATGTTGAGCAACATAGAAATAAGCTTTTATTTGTTTTTGCTGCTCAACGGCGACCGTTACAAATTAAAACTTAATCAACAAAAATCTCAAATTTGGTCTAAAAATGTCTATTTCATTTAATTTTAAGTCATTCTGTGAAACAGAACATTTTATGATATATTTTGTTTTTATACCTTTTTGTTTGAAAAATAGTTTTCTGAAAAAATTGCAATTTGTGTAAGTATATTTGTTGATTTTGATTATCATTGTTTAATTTCGATGAATTCCTAAAAATCCAATTCATTTAGTTAGCAGCGAAGCGCGTGGGTCTGCTAGTTCTACATAAATCACAAGCTAAGAAATGTATATACTGACTGAGTATGGGTATAAAAATGGAGAAGCGACTCACACGTTCCTTCTAGTTATCTCTTAATTATACCCGTACACAAAAAAGAGTTAAGGGGTATATTAGATTTGTGGTAAAAGTGGATGTGTGTAACGTAGAGAAGGAAACGTTTCCGACCCCATAAAGTATATATATTCTTAATCAGCATCAATAGCCGAGTCGATATAGCCATGTCCGTCTGTCCGTCCGTCCGTCCGTCCGTCCGTCTGTCCGTCTTGATGAGCGCCTAGATCTCAGAGACTATAAGAGCTAGAGCAACGAAATTTTGTTTCCAGACTCATGTAATATCACACTGCTACAAGTGTATTTCAAAATTTCGCCCCGCCCCCTTCCACCACCATAAAAAAAGAAGAAAATCTGTGGCAGGCACAATTTTACGGATACGATAAAACTAAAAACGCAGTATCGTAGAAAATGCCCATATCTACCAGATTGCCGAATCTGAATCAGATCGGATCATAATTATAGCCAAAATGAAGAAATTAATTTTCTGTTGGTTCCCTCTCCTTCTCCAGCGGTGCTGACGCTACTGATTCTCTTTCTCGCTCGCACACTCTGCCGCGTTCAGTGCGCGAGCAACCCCTAGCGGAGGAGATGTAGAATATAAATGGTACATGTACAATCTACATGTTAGATGTGGAATATACATTGTAGATGTAGATAACAGATGTAGCAAAAAAATGTAAAATGTAAAATGTTTTTTTTTTTTAATTCTAAAAAATCATTAGCTCAAAAATGTATATACAGACTGAGTACGGGTATAAGTAGAGTCGCGTCCCCAGAAGCGACTCACACGTTCCTTCTCGTTTTTATATATATAGATTAATAGAAAATACAAACAAACAAATTATTTTGTATTTCTGTGAGTCTTTTTGGCGACTATTTATGGGCACTTTCAGGAGGCTCTTTTACGACACATACGAGCGACTCTCTACCGATCCTGCTAGGGGACCCATTGGCGATCCTTATCGGAGACTCTCCTGCGACAGTTCGAAAAGACTCTCTCGCGACTTTTCTGGAAGTGTCACGGAAGTGGCTTACTTTCTCCCAACAGAAGTTCAGAAAAGATCAGAATGCGATATCGCTCGCGATGAAATTAATCTTCTTGACGAGTCTGATGTGAGTCTCTGGCGATCGAAAATTTTTGCTGGGAAGACTTTAATGACACCTAATTAATGAACCTATACATAAGAAATAAAAGGACTTGAGTTTCCTGAGTTTTAAAAGTCAAAATTTGAAAGAAAACGAGAAGGAACGTGCGAGTCGCTTCTGGGGACGCGACTCTACTTATACTTATGATCTTGATCTTATAATTTTTTAGAATTTTAGAATTAAAAAAAAAAATTTTACATTTAACATTTTTTTGCTACATCTGATATCTACATATACATCTACAATGTATATTATACATCTAACATGTAGATTGTACAATGTACATGTTCCATTTAGACTCTACATCTCCTCCGCTAGGGGTTGCTCGCGCACTGAACGCGGCAGAGTGTGCGAGCGAGAAGGAAAATGAGTTGCGTTGTCGTTTGCTGGAGGAGGGACAGGGGAAGCAACTGAAAATTAATTTCTTCATTCTGGCTATAATTATGATCCGATATGATTTAGATTCGGCAATCTGGTAGATATGGGCATTCTCTACGATACTGCGTTTTTAGTTTTATCGTATCTTTAAAAATGTGCCTGCCACAGATTTTCGTCCTTTTTGGGGGCGGAAGGGTGCGGGGCGAAATTTTGAAATACACTTGTAGCAGTGTGATATCACATGAGTGTGGAAACCAAATTTGGTTGCCCTAGCTCTTATAGTCTCTGAGATCTAGGCGCTCAACAAGACAGACAGACAGACAGACAGACGGACAGACGGACAGACAGACATGGCTCTATCGACTCGGCTATTGATGCTGATCAAGAATATATGTACTTTATGGGGTCGGAAACGTTTCCTTCTCTGCGTTACACACATCTACTTTTACCACAAATCTAATATACCCCTTAACTCTTTTTTGAGTACGGTTATAATTACGAAGATACCAGACTAATGGCAGGGCAAATGGGACGACTTCCCGTGCCCTATGCATAAATTCTTAACGAGAGCGTGAGAGCATTATGGCATAGCTCCGCGTGGCTTCTGAGCCGAGCACGAGGGGTAGATGACGAAAGAGAGAGCTGCTTAAACGCAGCAGGTGGAGCAGAAACACGAAAGGAGCGGGAGACATAACTGCCAGAACAGCCTCTTCCGGGCGTAGGAATATGCGTTATGCTGCCTGACCCGACAGTATCTTACATCTGGTTTTTTTTTTGCCATCTTTGCCATTTTCAAAAGCTGATAAATGCATATATAAAGTTAACCTGAACACTTAATACCTTCAGCTTACCGTCTGGAAAATATTAAGCTTTAAAATGCAAAATGAATTATTTTTGTGCGTTATTTTTTATAACCGTACTCAAAAAAGAGTTAAGGGGTATATTAGATTTGTGGTAAAAGTGGATGTGTATAACGCAAAAAAGGAAACGTTTCCGACCCCATAAAGTATATAAATTCTTGATCAGCATCAATAGCCAAGTCGATATAGCCATGTCTGTCTGTCCGTCTGTCTGTCTGTCCGTCTGTCTGTCCGTCCCGATGAGCGCCTAGATCTCAGAGACTATAAGAGCTAGGGCAACCAAATTTGGTTTCCACACTCATGTGATATCACACTGCTACAAGTGTATTTCAAAATTTCGCCCCGCCCCCTTCCGCCCACACAAAGGACGAAAATCTGTGGCAGGCACATTTTTAAAGATACGAAAAAACTAAAAACGCAGTATCGTAGAGAATGCCCATATCTACCAGATTGCCGAATCTAAATCATATCGGATCATAATTATAGCCAGAATGAAGAAATTAATTTTCAGTTGCTTCCCCTGTCCCTCCTCCAGCAAACGACAACGCAACTCATTTTCCTTCTCGCTCGCACACTCTGCCGCGTTCAGTGCGCGAGCAACCCCTAGCGGAGGAGATGTAGAATCTAAATGGTATATGTAGAATACATATGTAGATGTAGATAACAGATGTAGCAAAAAAATGTAAAATTTAAAATTTTTTTTTGTTTTTTTAATTCTAAATAATTATATGCTCAAAAATGTATATGCTGACTGAGTATGGGTATAAGTAGAGTCGCGTCCCCAGAAGCGACTCACACGATCCTTCCCGATTTTTGTTTTCTAAAAGTTTATTTAGGCAACTGTATTAAAAGCAATCAGGGAATACAAGTTAACGACTAACGTATTTGCTAGTCTGCTAAGTTATATTTTGTTATATTACACAAAAATACCCGGTCATTGGTCGACGAGTGGGTGTAATATGGGGTTCTCGTTGTCTATATACTTGTACCAATAAATATATATTCTGCCGTACTGCCGCTACTACATGCCAATAAAATATTATTTGTATTAAATCTTCTCGGCCCTTTTATTAAAATCAAAACTCAATAGCTATTAAAAACGCTTAATAGCTTAACAGATACTTTAGTTATTTGAAAAATAAAACGCTACCTCCGACAAAAAAAAAGGAAGGGGGCCGAGTGACGGGATTAGCTTATGTGCCACAGAGCTAGATCAACCAAATAGATAGCAGATGTAGCAAACAAAATTTAAATTGTACAAAATTTTAAAATTCTACATAAATCATATGCTCACAAATTTATATAATAACTGAGTACGGGTATAAAAAAAGAGTCGCGTCCACAGAAGCGACTCACACGATCCTTCCCGATTTTTGTTTTCTAAAAGTTTATTTAGGCAACTGTATTAAAAGCAATCAGGGAATACAAGTTAACGACTAACGTATTTGCTAGTCTGCTAAGTTATATTTTGTTATATTACACAAAAATACCCGGTCATTGGTCGACGGATGGGTGTAATATGGGGTTACTTTTCTGTACTTTATATAAATGAAAAATTTGTATACTTACATTGAATGTCAAGCTTCCATCCATCTTCAAGAGGCTCTGATGGGACAGCATGATTGTAAGCTTTGCACGATAAAAACTTCCCCGCATCGGCTTTACTTAGGCTGATGGAAAGAGTACTTGTTGTCTGGTTACCATCACTTGACGTCTAAAAAAAACATCATGAATATTTAGTATTAATAAATTTTCCTTGACAATTTCCAACCGTCGACTTCAGACGTATTTTTGTAATCGTAAATTAATTCGGAAAAAGCGCTTGGGGTGTGCATGGGTACTAGTGATTGTGCTGCCCATGAATACCATCCAATCGTTTAATAAAGATTAATAGAAATAATAGAAAAGAACAAATGTCAACGTTTAAGAGCACCAGCTCGGTAAAGAGCACAAGCACTGTAACCAAAGCCAAAACGAGCCAAGCCCGGCAACAACAACAAGACGAGCGTCGGCTCTCGCAAGCAAAAAACAACGCGTACTTCTCTATACGCTCGCGAAAGGCAGCAGTACCAACAAAAACTGCACGAGGAGAGAGCACGCTCTCTCTCCCCTGCATTGAAAAGTGGGTCATAGAGTGCTCAGTGCCCATCCCCCGACTCGTACTGCCTAACCAGCGATTTGCTAATATCGACAACAACTAGTACAATGCCCTCGCTAAAAACTGTGTCTTCGACCACAACAACGACAACAACCACAACAACAACCACTGCAATTGCTGAGCGCCCGATACTGTCGACCCACTGCGACAAGCCCCAACTCTCCCAACCAATAAGTTCAAAAAATGCTAACGGAGCGTTAATTCAGACTGGGCTCGATCGCTATGTGCAAATGAAAAGAAAATTCAGCCCACAAAACGTGAAGAACAACAGTGCAGCTAAAATAACTAAAATAACCGAGAACACTGTGCCACATAAGGCACTAGCAAACAATAGATTTGCGATACTAAGTGTCCCAAATGAAGGTGACGCCCAAACACCCAAGGCCAAAAATTTAAGACCGCCACTTATTTATGTTCGACAGGCAAATTGTGCTGAACTGGTAAAAAAAATAACTGATACAATTGGCGCAAACACATTCTATGTCACGTCCATAAAAAGGGGTAACATAAATGAAACAAAAATACAAGTCAATGTCGAACAAAACTATCGATCAGTTGCGAAATACCTCGAAAATGAAAAAATGAATTACTACACCTACCAACTTAAAAGTAGCAAAGGATTACAAGTGGTTATCAAAGGAACCGAACCAACAGTCCCAATCAATGAGATAATAGATGGACTTAACGATAAGGGCATCGAAGTCAAAATGGCTATGAACATAATAAATAGAAATAAAATTCCCCAGCCAATGTTCAAAGTAGAACTGACACCTGAAAGTATGCATATAAGTAAAAATGAAGTTCACCCAATATACAAGCTTCAATATCTACTGCACCGTAGGATCACCGTTGAGAAACCACACAAACGAAATGGACCTGTCCAATGCACAAATTGCCAGGAATATGGACACACGAAAACCTATTGAACTCTACGGGCAGTCTGCGTTGCCTGTGGTGATGTGGAGGACCCATCTGCCAAAAAATGTAGCAACTGTGGGGGAAACCATACTGCCAACTATAGAGGTTGTCCTGTCTATGAAGAATTGAAAAATCGCCTAAACCAACAAATAACTGCAGCTCGAAACCCGGTGTACCGACAAAACTTAACATATATACCATCAACTACGACTCCAGGAGTTTCTTTTGCTCAGGCGTTAAGCTACAACAACGGGTCGTACGCCTCAGTTTCTAAGCCGACACTTCAACCAACCACAGCTGGAATAATGCAGCATCAGGCATCAAATCAGATCCCAGAAATCTCTGCCCAACATACCCCTGCTAATCCATCCCAATTGCCTAGTGGAATTGAGTCAATGCTGGTAACTATAACTAACACAATGGTAGCAATACAACAAACGATGCAGGAGCTAATGCGCAACCAAAATCTCCTCCTGGAGCTCTTAATCAAACGGAAATCTGTTTAAATGGCTTGTCTAAATATATGTTTCTGGAATGCTAACGGCATTTCGCAGCACAAATGCGAGTTGTTACAGTGCCTCGCTCAACACGACATTGACACCTCCATGTGCCTTACCATCGGGATGGTTTGTCGCTCATATCCATGTCGCTGATATCCATGCTCATATCAGAGACTCACCTAACAAATAAAAACTATTTTCACTTCGATAACTATAACTTCTATGCGACAAATCATCCCGATGGTAAGGCATCAAGAATCGCATCAGGCATTATCCATTGCCTTCATTTGCTACCTAAGCCTAGTCGCAGTATTCTGCCCACCGCACTTCTGCATTTCCGAAACAGAATTTGTAAAATTCTGCGACCTACTAGGTGACCGATTTATATGCAGCTGATGACTACAATGCCAAGCACACCCAACTATATAACGCTATAAAAACACCACGAAATAAGCTAGACTTTATCTCTCCGGGCAAGCCTACATATTGGCCCACAGATCCAAACAACTTGATTGATTTCGCAGTTACACGAAGAGTTCTGCAAGCTCAGATTAATGTAGATCACTTAACAGATCTATCATCGGATCACTCGCCCATTCTACTTCACCTTTACGACCATGCACAGTTTTCGGAACGCCCACACTTTCTAACTTCTAGCAAAACATATTGGCTCAAATACAGGAAAAACATAAGATATTAAATTATATTATTTATTGTAAAGATTACATTGATAGGTCAGTCGAAGCATTAGTATCCTTAATGTCACTGGCGGCAAACACTCAACACCAATATTAGCATCTAATAAACTTTCAACAGCAGTCAATTTCTATGCACATTGAAGTGCTGCTTCGCGATAAAAGAAGGCGAAAGCCAAGTTTCAGGTTAAGCTTCAGGCCCATCCTAATAGACTTGCGCAGTCTTTAACGTGGCACACTAGCCATACACGACTCCGGCGAAGAGACCTCCCCACCCAGCAATAATACTTAGCTAGGGACGTACTCTAAGTAATTAAGAGCAATTAATTAACTAAATATATTAGGTTAAGATTTGCATACTTATCGTCGCCTCTAATAGGGAAGATTCGATAAATAAATTACCGTAATAATAAAAAAAAAAGCCCAGCAAAATGACTATCGGCCTTAAAAATAGTCCAGAAAGAGCTCCAATTGACCAAAAACCGCCAAACTTTGGCTGTTAATGATTGGAGAAACGTTATGTTTGAAATAATGACTCTAGCGATTTGGTTTCTTTTTGTTTATTTTTATTATCTTTAATTATTTCTATTCGGCGTCGCGTTCACTTGCTCACTTTCTGATGATGACGGGTAACTGGCCGGTGTAGTCTCTTTCGCTGAATGATGGTCTACCCCGAGTGACTGCTTGTTGATCGGCTGCCCCAAGTGATTGTTGGCTGATTGACTGCCCTCTTCTTCTGTTGGGTCGGCGCTATTTAAATTCCCAGACGGTGGGTGTTAGAGATTTTTTTGCTTATCCGGTAAAACAGTGTATTACTTATCGAAAATATAGGTCAGGGTTTTGAAATGGGGTCTTCTGTGTCTGCATTCTGGCATTCTGACGGAGGGTCGGTGATTTGGGAATGGATTCGGTCGTGTTTGTATTGCGGAAAGTGCTAATTAAATGTGGGAATTGTACTACTTTGGCTAACCCACCATTGGGTCAGCGTTATATGCCAAAAGTAGGTGGCCCGTGGGTTATTATAACTGTTTTAGTAAATCGCGACCTGGTGAGGGACTTATGCTAGGTATACAATTATTCTTCTGGTAGGGAAGTGTGAACTAAAGAATGTAGCGATTCATGAATCTAATGTTTCGTTACAGTTATTTTTATATTTGCGTAAAAATATTCCTGCAACTGCTGTGTTGCGCTCGTCTGTTGAAAGAACAATATCCAAATCCGGGTTAAAATGAACTAATAAATTATCTGAACCCATCTCTTTTTATACCCATACTCAAAAAAGAGTTAAGGGGTATATTAAATTTGTGGTAGAAGTGGATGTGTGTAACGCAGAGAAGGAAACGTTTCCGACCCCATAAAGTATATATATTCTTGATCAGCATCAATAGCCGAGTCGATATAGTCGATGTCTGTCTGTCCGTCGTCTGTCTGTACGTCTTGTTGAGCGCCTAGATCTCAGAGACTATAAGAGCTAGGGCAACCAAATTTGGATTTCAGGCTCATGTGATATCACCCTGCTACAAGTGAAAAACACTTGTAGCAATGTGATATCATATGAGGAGGAGGAGATCCGCTAGGGGTTGCTCGCGCACTGAACGCGGCAGAGTGTGCGAGCGAGAAGGAAAATGAGTTGCGTTGTCGTGGGCAGGAGGGGGCAAGGGAAGCGACTGAAAATTAATTTCTTCATTCTGCCTATAATTATGATCCGATCTGATTCAGATTCAGCAGTGGTAGATATAGGCATTTTCTACGATAATGCGTTTTTAGTTTTATCGTACCTTTAAAAATGTGCCTGCCACAGATTTTCGTCCTTTGTGGGAGCGGAAAGGGGCGGGGCGAAATTTTGAAATACACTTGTAGCAGTGGGATATCACATGAGTCTGTAAAGATATTTTGGTTGCCCTAGCTCTTATAGTCTCTGAGATCTAGGCGCTCATCGGGACGGACAGACAGACGGACAGACAGACAGACGGACAGACAGACATGGCTCTATCGACTTGGCTATTGATGCTGATCAAGAATTTATATACTTTATGGGGTCGGAAACGTTTCCTTCTCTGCGTTATACACATCCACTTTTACCACAAATCTAAAATACCCCTTAACTCTTTTTTGAGTACGGGTTTAATTAGAGCTAAACACAACTCAAAGAGCTAAACATGCAAAGATAGCTAAGAAGTGGTGAATATTATATGGTAGAGGGAATTGAAGTCCGAGCATAGGATCCTAAATGGTTCTTACAAGAAATAAATTGATCTACAAAGTGAAAGAAACAGAGAAATAATGTTTCTAGTAGATCTAATAGGAATCGTAAAGCTTATGCGGCTCATCAAGTCAGGGATAACTACGTCACCCTTGCTCAGGTTGTGCATAAAAATCACACCAAGCTTTTTTCTACGACTAATTAAGGTTGGAAGGTTTTGTAAAAGCAATCCACGAGGGT